CTGGTACTTGAAAAACTACAACATGTTGGAAAAAAAAAAAAGAGGAAGATGTGAACAAGTGGAAGAATATACTGTGTTCATGGATTGGTAGAACGAAATATAAAAATAAAAATGTCGCCGAAACTGGTTTGGCTCAGTGGCCTGTGCACTGAAGGGTCCCAGGTTCGATTCCGGTCAAAGGCATGTACTTTGGTTGTGGGCACGTCCCCAATAGGGGGTGTGCAGGAGGCAGCTGATCGATGACTCTCTCTCATCAATGTTTCTGATACTCTGTCCCTCTCTCTTCCTCTCTGTAAAAAATCAATAAAATACAATAAAAAAGAATAGGTGATATCCTTACATTTAAAATAAATAAATAAATAAATAAATAAATAAATAAAATAATTAAAATGTCCATATTACCCAAGGCAATCTATAGATTCAATACAATCCCTATTAAAATACCAACAGCATATTTCACAGATATTGAACAAATACTCCAAAAATTTATATAGAACTAAAAAAGAACCAAATAGCCACAGCAGTCTTGAGACAGAAGAACAAAGTTGGAGGAATCATAGTACCAGATATCAAGTTATACTACAAAGACACCACAATCAAAACATCCTGATACTGGCACAAAACAGGCATATAGGTCAGTGGAACAGAAAAGAGACCCCCGAAATCAACCCAAGTTATTCCGCTCAATTATTTGACAAAGGAGACAAAAACATAAAATGGAGTCAAGACATTCTCTTAAAAGAAAGTTGGGGAAAATTGGACAGATATATACAAAAAATGGAACTAAGCCATACACAAGAATAAACTCAAAATGAATAAAAGACTTAAATGTAAGTCATGAAACCATAAAAATTCTATAAGAAACCATAGGCAGCAAAATTTCAGCTATCTCTCGTAGCAGTATGTTTATAGGTACTTCTCCTAGGGCAAAGGATATTAAGGAGAAAATACACAAATGGGACTACATCAAAATAAAAATAAATATCTCTTGTATAGCAAAAGAAACCATCAGCGAAAAGAAATGGTAACCATCTGTATGGGAGAATATATTAGCCAATGATACATTATGATAAAGGTTTAATATCCAACATATATAATGAACTCATACAATTTAACAAAAGGAAGACAATGCAATTTAAAAATAGGAAAAGGACCTAAGTAGACATTTCTCAAAAGTGGACATACAAATGGCCAAGAGACATGAAAAAATGCTCCCAAGTCACTAATCATCAGAGAGATGCAAATTAAACAGCTGTTTGCTGTTATCACCTAACACATGTCGGATTTTCAACATAGTGCTGAATATACCCTGCAGACTTATTTAGCCCCCTAGTTTCCTCAGTTGTTAGCATTCTCCAGATTTGCCTTATTCTCTCTAATTTATATATATATATATATACACACACACAGACATTATTTTTCTTGAACCATTAAGTTGCTGGCATTATGTCTATTACCCTTAATATATTAGTTCATCCTATATAATAAAAGACTAATATAAAATTGTCCCCTTGTCTGGGAGTTCGACCAGGGGGCAGGGCCCAACCGCCTGTGGCCCCTCCCCACAGCCAGCCCAACCCATTGGCCCCAATTGAGCTGAGTGGTTCAGACTCCACTTGTGCACGAATTCGTGCACCGGGCCTCTTGTATTTCATAAAAACATACTTTTCTACATACCCACAGTGCATCTGATTAACATAAATTTTTATTGTCTAATCCATAGACGAACATCATATTGTTAGTTGTTCCCAATAATGTCATTTGTAAATCTGAGATCCAATCAGGATTAGGCATTGCAGTGAGTTCTTATGTTTCTTTGGTCTCCTTCATACCAGAAGTTTCCCAGACTTTATCTTGAAGAGAACAGACTAAATTTTTGTAAAATGGCAGATTTGGGTTTGTCTGGCTTTTCTGGGATTGTTATTTTAGTCAAGAATATCACAGAAAGTGATATTTTCTTAGCGCATCGAGCAGAAGGCACAGTGTTGATTTGTTATTTACTCTTTTTTTTTTTAATATATTTTATTGATTTTTTACGGAGAGGAAGGGAGAGAGAGAGAGAGAGCTAGAAATGTCGATGAGAGAGAAACATCGACCAGCTGCCTCCTGCATACCCCCTACCGGGGATGTGCCCACAACCAAGGTACATGCCCTTGACTGGAATCAAACCCGGGACCCTTCAGTCCACAGACGGATTCTCTTACCACTGAACCAAACCGATCTCAGCTGTTATTTACTCTTGATTAAAACCTTTGTCACTTGGTCAAGATGCTGTCTTCTAATTTTCCCTCTGTAAATTAATATGTATTTTTTGAGGAGCTGCTTGAAACTATAAAATATTAATGCGTGAATTTTAGTATTTGTTGGAGATGTTAATTTAAAAATAATATAAAATTGATTATTTGAGATTGCTAAAGTATGCTATTATATAAATGGAAGTTGCTAATCTCTGGATTAGCATATATATAAACAAAAGTTTGTTTAAACATGCTTACTCAAACAGAGTACAAAAGTAGATGCCATGCAGATAAGCCAGTAAGCTTTAGATATAGATATATTTCTAGTTTTAACTTTTTATTTGATATGCATTTTAACATCAGTATTAGTGCCTCTTTAGTAACTTTCTTTTATAATCAAACACTTCTGTAAATATTGTATTGTATACCTTTTGAAATATTAAGTTGAAAAGCATCTTAGAAATTATTCAAATTTTATCAAATTTATTTTGACTTAATTCTATAGACACTTTTAAAAAAATTAGAGAAAATTGATGACTTACCCAAAGTTATATATTATGTGAAATGTCATAGGTTGCTATTACAAACATTTGAAATCCCATAAAATCTAGAAATATATTTGCAAGTAGAGAGTTCTTAATTATAAAAGCCAGATAAGAGTTTAAATCTAAGTTCATGAGAAACTTAAAATAAAAAATAAAAAAATCCCGTTTACCATTGCAACAAAATATTAAGATACTTAGGAATAAAGTTAACTAAGGAGGTAAAAGACCTGTACTTGGAAAACTACAGACACTGAAAAAAGAGATAGAGAAGACATAAACAAATAAGAATATTCCGTGTTCATGGATTGATAGAATCAACACCATTAGAATGTCATACTACCCAAAGGAATCTAGATTCAATGCAATCCCCATTAAAATACCAACGGCGTATTTCACAGGCCTAGAACAAACCTCCAAAAATTCCAAAAATGTGAAATAAAAAACAAAAACCGTATTGCCGCAGCAATCCTGTGAAAGAACAAAGTTGGAGGGGTCACAATACCAAATACCAAGCTATATTACCTACCCACTGTTCTCAAAACTGCCTGATAATAGCATAAGAACAGACATATAGCCCAATGGAACAAAACAGAGAAACCAGATATAGACCCAAGCCATTATGCTCAATATTTGACAAAGGAGGCAAGAGCATACAATGGAGTCAATACAATTCAATAAATGGTGTTAAGAAAATTGGACAGATATGTGCAAAAAAAATGAAACCAGACCACCAAATTACACCATACATAAGAATAAACTCAAAATGGTTAAAAGACTTAAACATAGACAGTAAACCATAAAAATCTTATAAGAATCCATAAGCAGCAAAATATCAGACACATGTCGTAGCAATATCTTTACCAGTACAGCTCCTAGGACAAAAGAAACTAAAGAGAAAATAAACAAATGGAACTACATCAAAATAAAAAGCTGCTGCACAGCAAAAGAAACCATCAAAAAAACAAGAAAGCCCACTTTATGGGAGAACATATTTGCCAATGTTATATCCAATAAGGGTTTAATCTCTAACATGTATAAGGAACTCATATAACTTAACAAAAGGAAGATAATCCAATTAAAAAAAAAATGGGCAAAGGACCTAAATAGACACTTTTCGAAAGAGGACATACAGAAAACCAAGAGACATATGAAAACTTGCTCAAAATCAAAATGACAATGTGGTACTATCTCACACCTGTCAGAATGGCTATCATCAACAAATAGACAAACGACAAGTGCTGTAGAGAATTCGGAGAAAAAGGAACCCTCGTGCACTGCTGGTGGGAATGCAGACTGGTCCAACTGCTGTGGAGAACAGTATGGAGTTTCCTCAAAAAAATTAAAAACGAAACTGCCATTTGACCCAGTAATCCCACTTCTAGGAATATAGCCCAAGAAATCAAAAACACCAATCAGAAAGGATATATGCACCCCTATATTCATAGCAGCACAATTTACAATAGCTAAGACTTAGAGACAGCCAAAGTGCCCATCAGCAGATGAGTGGATTAAAAAACAGTAGTACATCTACACAATGGAATACTATCATACTGTAAATAGGAAGGAATTCCTACTATTTGTAACAACATGAATGGTCCTGGAGAGCATTATGCTAAGTGAAATAAGTCAGTCAGAGAAAGATAAATATCACATGGTCTCACTCATTTGTGGATTATAATGAACATAAACTGATGAACAAAAATAGAGCCAGAAACAGAAGCATCGAACAGACCATCCAACCTTAGAAGGCAGGCAGGGGAGGGGGGAGGTAAGAGAGCAACCAAAAGGACTTGTATGCATACATATAAGAGTAACCCATGGACACAGGCAGTAGGAGGGTGAGGGCATTTGCCAGGAATGGGGTGGAGGGAGTGGCTGTGAAGAGGTCAATGGGGGGGGGGGGAAAGATGTAATAATTTAAATATTCACTAGAGATTGGGAAGCATAGTTATGGTGAAAACAGTTGGTGCTTAATAAATTGTGTGTGTGTTTGTGAGAGAAAGAGGTAGGGAGGGAAGGAGAGAGGAGAGAGGTAGAAATCTGGACTATAATCTGTTAATCCTTGTCATTATTAGTTTGCATATGTACACTTAATTCATGTTACTCTTATGTAGAGACCCAATTTGTTTCACAATTGTCTGATAACGTTTAAATAATTTTGATGGAGTTTTTATTAACAGTATCTTTATAGCTTAACTATTTACTGGTTGCCTTTCAGAACAAAAGAGATGAACACTTACTGAAAAAAAGGAATGTTCCCCAAGAAGAAAGTTTAGAAGATTCAGATGTTGATGCTGATTTTAAAGCAGTAAGTTACCTTGTTCTTATAAACTATTTTTAAATAATTCTTGTACTGGCCAGAAAACTTTATTTTTAATCTAAGATCAATTGTACAATGATAATTAAGGCATATTAACTTCGTAAGTAAATTATTTCATAAATGTAATTTTGCTAATAAACACGTTGCTGAACTATCTTTTTTTCTTTTTAAGCAAAATGTAACACTAGAAGCTATATTGCAGGTATGTGATTAATTTAATATTCTCAATTTGAAATATTTTGAAATTGATTTTTTTTTTTTTTTATTTCTGAAATTTACATTTGGTGTTGCAGAATGCCACAAGTGATAACCCAGTGGTCCAGCTGAGTGCTGTTCAAGCTGCAAGGTAAATACTGATTTGTCCACTCAGAGAAGTTATGTCACATGTAGGGTGTCTTATTTAGTAGTCCAGGAGTACATTATTATTTCTATTCATAGTTTGAAAATTATAACAATTTCTTATATTTCTTTTTCTAGAAAACTATTATCCAGTGACAGAAACCCACCAATTGATGACTTAATAAAATCTGGGATTTTACCAATTCTTGTCAAATGTCTAGAAAGGGATGATAAGTAAGTATGGTTTTGATTCCCTGTCCCACTTTTTTCAGTTAGTAACTAAAAATTTAAGATTGTTATTTAACCAATGAGTTCAGTTTGGTTTTGCATTTATTATATTTTTATTTGTTACGCATTTTTATGTAACTATTTTGTGATTATATTCAACAGACCTAAAGTGCTTTTCTTTATTTTCTAGGAAAATTTTAGCTTCTATTTATTGTCTTTTCTAACTTATTTCAAATATTTAGAGTGTTTGTTAGTGATTTTTTAAAAAATATATTTTATTGATTTTACACAGAGAGAAATCGAGAGGGACAGAGAGTTAGAAACGTCAATGAGAGAGAAACATCGACCAGCTGCCTCTTGCACACCCCCAAGTGTGCCCACAACCAAGGTACATGCCCTTGACCGGAATCGAACCCGGGACATTTCAGTCCGAGGCCCCTGAGCCAAACCAGTCCCGGCTGAAAGTGATTTTTAATTTTTTTAGTAATATTTTAATACAGCCCAAATAGTGTTTGAGTCTCTCTTTGCTTATGAGTCTATATATAGATTAACCTTATGACTGAGTCAACATGAATGGTTTCCAGAACTGAGTAGCTATTTGCTGTGAATATTTCAGCTGTTCCATTGATCCTCTGAAGTCTTTAACAGAATTTCAATCATGATTTGTTGTCCAACATCATGGTTTTATTTGTGTGAATTAAAAATAAGAGGGCTGTTCATACTTTTACAAAATAGAAAGGAAAGAACATCACTTGGTATTTTGGGGGTACTGGCCCCACTTTTGTTAGTGTTTAGAAATACCCTGGTATCTGTATCTTAAACTCATCTATTTGAATCACCTGGGAAGAATGTAAGTTTGCACTCCAAAAACTTTAGGACAAATGCTGACTTTATGGATTTTAGAGCATTTAGACTAAAATTTTGAATATTTTGCTAAATGTTGTCTAAAGAATAATTCAGTTGACTAAGTAAAAATAATGGTATTTAAATGTTGCTGCTCAGAATTTTCCATTGTGTGCCACAGCCACCCTTCTAATAGCCCTTAACACTTTATTTTAATAATGTATTTTTTTTTAACAAGATTTATTTAAGTTAAAATAAGTTTTACTTCAACTGTTTAAGAAAACATTCTGTTTTACCTGTACTTTTAGGGTCCTCTTTTGTTCTCGATCGGCTTCTCTTTCATTTTTTCCTTTCCAGTTTTTGGTATAGACTCATTGTGTAGGTGTGTCTGTGAAACATAGCTTTTATATAGAAAATAATGGTAAAAATATGTATATAACCCTGTGTAACTAATTCCCAAAGCAAACATAGAAATGTGTCAGTGGTTTCTTTCTGACTTTATGGATTTGTCATTGGAAATTGTTTTGTAAATATAAAAGACCATAGACTTTGTACCCTGGTTTAAATTCAGGGTTTGCTGTTGACCAAAACCCAAGTGGCTTGTATGCCCTCATCTATTTTTATACTCTCATCTGTAAAAATTAGGTGACGGGAGCAGTCCCCAGTACCACAAAGTGGGCTACTGGGCAGAGTTGACTTGGGTTCTCTGTGCAAACCAGTTACACTAGGGCTGCTGTACAAAGTACTCAATGTTCCTGAAAGTACACCGCAGTGTTAAAAGTTTGCAGCAGAAATTTTCAAGTTTCTGCAGCAATAAGTACAATTATTACTAATGGTGGAATAGAAATAAATTCCGCACAGGCTGTTGGAAATTTTTTTTAAATATATATTTCTTTATTGATTTGAGAAAGGAAGGGAGAAGGAAAGAGAGAGAAACATCAGTGATGAGAGAATAATTGATCGGCTGCCTCCTGCACACCCCCTACTGGGGATCGAGCTCACAATCCAGGCATGTGCCCTTGGCCAGAATTAAACCTGGGACCCTTCAGTCTGCTGACTGATGCTCTATCCACTGAACCAAGCTGGCTAGGGCTGGAAATGTTTTTCTAAAGCATGGTTCAGAACTGCAAACTATTGCTAGAAATTATGTTAGAAGTTGTTAATATCTGCTACAAGATAGGATTATCTTTAAAAAAAAAAAAAAAGTATTGGTAATGTTAAACTGAAATTAGGCACTTAAAATACTATGAAAACACCAATGGTTGGTGAAATAATAATAAAAGATGAGTTACTTCAAAAAAGAAAAGAAGATGACTCTGTCCTTTCTTGTTATTCACACTCTTCATGTGAAGAGGGAATGCTTATACATTGAGAGTACCATCTCCACAGAAGATCTTGGCTGCCTCACAGCATACACAGCTAGTTCATTGAGGGGAGTAAATAGATTACCCAACTATGTTTTGTTACTGGAGGATGCTTCTGATAATTCTTTTGGAATAATTCTTTTGGGAACATTTCGAAAATTAAAATTTGTTGAATTTTTAAAATAAAAAGTAAGTGGTTGTGAGGAATGGAAATGAATATACAAAACACTAATAATAGGAAGCTTATAATAAATGTTCATCATTGTTTACTTCTTGCAGTCATTTATTTTTTTCTATATGTTCTCTCTCTCTTTTTCAAGTTATGTCTTAGGAGACTTTGCCTGGCTTTATAATTTTGATTTTTTTTACGTCTTTCTGTTTTTCTCATTTAAGATCCTCATTTTCAGTATTTTGCCAAACCACCTAATCTAACTTAATAATCTTTCTCCTTCCATTCTGGGGCAGCATATACTATCTCTTCTTTGATGTTATTGTTCTTTTACTTCTCCTCTGCCTCTGATACCCTATTATTCCCCGCCTTTTGCTAAAATTTATTATGTAGTTCTTGGCCTGATACTCCATTTTCTCATCTTTCTCTTAAAAAAAAAAAAAATATATATATATATATATACATATATATATATATATACACACACACACACACACACACACACACACACACACACATATTTCAGAAAGGAAGGGAATGGGAGAGATAGAAACACCAATGAAGAGAATCATCAATTGGCTGCCTCCTGTACACCCCTTCTGGGAATTAAGCCCACAGCCCAGGCATGTGCCCTTTACCAGAATCGAACCGGGGACCCTTCAGTCCCTAGGCCGACAGTCTATTCTCAGCCAAACCAGCTAGGACAGTGCTCGGCGAACTCATTAGTCAACAGAGCCCAATTTTTAAACTTAAACTTCTTCTAATGCTATTTCTTTAAAACAGACTCACCCAGGCTGTGGTATTTTGTAGAAGAGCCACACTCAAGGGACCAAAGAACTTATGTGGTTCGCAAGCCACAGTTTGCCGACCACAGAGCTAGGGCAAATCTGTTCCATCTCTTTAATGTCAATGCTTGCTGCAACTCTGACATTTATTCTCCTTAAACTTTTCCTTCTTGGATCTCTCCAACCTTTTGATGCTAACAGCCTCACTCTCTTTCTTAAATATCTATAATATGTTTTTCTGTGTCCTTATCCTTTGGCTCTTTTTCATTTTTGCTCACTACTATCTCCTCCCAACTTGCTGTTATGCTTAAAGGAATTTATATTCTTTCAGCTATTTATCCTAACTTAATTTAGATTCCCTTTTAACAAGTTTCTCCTATATCAGCCTTTAAACTGTTAAAATTCATTCTGCATACCATGACCTACAACATTTTTTAAAATTTCCTTTTTAATAGCACTCTATATTTAGTATGTCTATAGAATAAATTCCAATACATTCTGAAGTTTGGGATTTGAGTTCTCATCCCTCTCTCACCCTCACACCAACAACTAACTAACTCTCTCTCTGTCTCTCTCTCTTTCTCTTCTCTCTCTCTCTCTCTCTCTCTCTCTCTCTCTCTCTCTCTCTCTTAGCCCCTATTATATTTTTTGAATACTTTCTTGATCTTTTCCTAGTCATCTATACACACCACGGTCATCCACCCATGATACTTTTCATTGTATTTCTGTAGTGTCTTTCTTTATCCATCTTTTTTTTTTAAATAAATCTTTATTGTTCATATTATTACAAATGTTCCTCATTTTTTCCCCCTCCACCAGGTTCCCATCCCGCTCTCTGCCCTTTCCCCACCCCCATTGTCCTCATCCATAGGTGCACAGTTTATGTTCAGTCTCTTCCCACCACCCCCACTCCTCTTTTCCCTGAGAATGTCAGTCCACTCCCCTTCCATACCTCTGATTCTATTATATTCAACAGTTAATATTGTTCACCAGGTTTTTTAATTCCCTTGGTTTTTAGATTCACTTGTTGATAGTTACATATTTGTTGTTCATAATTTTTATCTTTATTTTCTTCCTCTTCCTAAAGAACCCCCTTCAGCAATTCATATAATTCTGGTTTGGCGGTAATGAACTCCTTTAGCTTTTTTTTATTGGTGAAGCTCTTTATCTGGCCTTTGATTCTGAGTGATAGCTTTGCTGGGTAGATTATTTTTGGCTGTAGGTTCTCACTATTCATCACTTTTGAATATTTCTTGCCATTCCCGTCTGGCCTGTATGGTTTCTGTTGAGAAATCAGCTGACAATCTGATTGTATGGGTGCTCCTTTATAGGTAACTACCTGCATTGCTCTTGCTGCTTTTAATATTCACTTTTTGTCTTTTGCTTTTGGAATTTTAATTATGATGTGTCTTGGTGTGGTCCTCTTTGGGTTCCTTTTGCTTCGGGTTCTGTGTGCTTCCTGGACTTGTAAGTCTATTTCTTTCCCCAGGTGGGGGAAGTTTTCTTTCACTATTTCTTTCAATATGTTTTCGGTATTTTGCTCTCTCTCATCTTCTGGGACCCCTATAATTCTGATGTTGGTTCGCTTGAAATTGTCCCAGAGGTTTCTTACACTATCTTCAACTTTCTGGATTTTCTTGTCTTCTTGCTTCTGTGGAGGAGTTTTCTCTGGCTCTTTGTGTTCCAAATCTTTGACTTGATTCTTGCGATCTTCCATTCTGTTTTTAGGACTCTGTATAATATTTTTTATTTCAGACAATGTATTCTTTATTTCTAGTTGATCCCTTTTCATATCCTCATAGGTCTTGTTTATCGGCCTTTTCTAGGAAATTCTTGAAAAACCTTATAAGTGTGGTTTTGAACTCTATATCCAGTCGCTTGTTGTCCTCCATTTCTTTCGTTTGTGATCTGTTTCCTGGTCTCGACATTTTTGCTGCTTCCCTGAGTTGGTAGGGTGGCTTTGTGTGTTAAAGTGTCCTATATGGTTCAGTGGGTCAGCCTCCCAGTTATGTTGGTGCACCCCCTTTGTGGACTGTGTCTACAGCCTTTTGTAGTTAAGTCTTAATTGGTGTTGGTATCACTGGGAGGAATTGACCTCCAGGCCAGTTGGCTATGAGGATCAGCTGTGTCTCTGCCAGAAGACAGCCTTATTCAAAAGTCTCTGTGCTCAGTTTGGATGGGGCGGAGTTTCAGGGTGGAGTCTACAGCCTTGGCTTTCTTTCAGCCCCGCCCTATGAGGTTTTTGAGTCTCAGTGCTTCTCAGTGTCCTTTGGTACTCGCTGCTTTGGTACTTGCTGCAAGCACCTCTGAGAGAAAGGTGCCCTCGAGCTTCACCCACTACCGGACAGTCTAGTCTCCCCCAATGAGCCCAGAACTGGGGCTGAGCACAGTTTGGAGCTTTTGTCTTCTTCCCGCCAGGGCAATCCAGTGGCACAGTCAATAGTCCGTCCTCTGCGCGCAACGTGTGCGCCTCCGGGACTTACTTTCGCTGCTCCCCTGAATTTCCGCCTTACAGCTTAGAATCCCTCTGTATTAGCCTGGGTCCCCAGGGTCTCTCCCAGAACTGGGGTTCAGTGCAGTCGGAACGGAGGCTCAGCTCAGTCTGGAGCTTTTATCTCCTTCCCGCTAGGGAACGCAATTCAGGCACTCGGCCACCCCTCCTCTCCGGCTCCATACTCTCCCCTCGCGCACACTGTGTCTTCGTACCTTAGGCTTTACAGCTCCTCTGATTATTCTTCTGGTTTTCCCTTTTCTTCTAGTAGTAGAATTTCTGGTCAGTCAACTTTCCTGTAGTTCTGGATGATGTCTACTTTATATTTTAGTTGTATTTTTTGAAATTGTTGTGTGAGGCTGCACTTAGGCGTTTACCTTTACCACCATCTTGGTTTTTCTTCTTTATCCATCTTTGAAAGGCTAGTTGTTTTCACTTTCTTTATGAGGTCTTCCAATATTATCTCACACTAGAGGCCCCAATGCCCAAAATTTGTGCATGGGGTAGTGGGGTATCCCTCAGCCCAGCCTGCACCCCCTCCAATCTGGGATCCCTCGAGGGATGTTAAACTGCCCGTTTAACAGGCAGTCGGACATCCCTCACAAACAATCCAGGACTGCTGGCTCCCAACTGCTCGCCTGCCTGCCTTCCTGATTGCCCCTAACTGCTTCTGCCTGTCAGCCTGATCACCCCCTAACCACTCCCATGTCAGCCTGATTGATGTCTAACTGCTCCCCTGCCAGCCTGTTTGCCCCCAGCTTCCCTCCTCTGCAGGGTTGATCCCCTCCAACTGCCTTCCTTTACAGGCCTGGTCCCCCCACACACACAACTGCCCTCCCCTGCTGGCCATCTTGTGTCCACATAGGGACAGGATCTTTGACCACATGGGGGCAGCCAGCTTGCATGTTGGAGTGATGGTCAATCTGCATATTACTCTTTTATTAGATAGGATGGGGGCCTTCTGGTTTGCCATGAAGGGTGTCCCAGATCAGGGTGGGGGTTTTCTTGGGGTGTGGGGCAGCCTGGGTGAGGGACCTGTGGTGGTTTGCAGGCCGGTCATGCCCCCTGGCGACCCAAAGGGAGGCCCTGGTATATTGAATTTATTTACCTTCTACAATTGAAACTGTGTAGTCTGGAGCGGAGCCAAGCCCCCTGCTCACTCTGTGGCCCTTAGGCATTTCTGTTGGGGTTCATGTATCTTCTATAATTGAAACTTTGTAGCCTTGAGTGGAAGCCTAGGCCAGCCAGGGTGTATGGAAAGCTTGGCTTCCGTTGCCAGGGAAACCCAAGCCTCCTTCCTGCTCTCTGTGGCTGTAGCCATCTTGGTTGGGTTTATTTGCATGCTTGCTCTGATTGGTTTGTGGGTGTGGCTGGTGGACGTGGCTTGAGCAGAGTGATGGTTAATTTGCATATTACTCTTTTATAAGGTAGGATTACAATGATCTCTTTCTTTTAGCAAATTTGTGCAGCCTTATAAATATCTCCAGTATGTAAAGCAGTGGTATGGAGTCACATAGGATCTAAACTAGTCTAGAGGCTTTGGCAGTGATTCAAATGAGATGACGAGAGCACAGTGATATTAGGAATCCTATCTAATAAAAGAGTAATATGCAAATTGACCATCACTCCAACACTCAAGATGGCTGCCCCCATGCATTCAAAGATCCTGCCCCCATGTGGACACAAGATGGCCACCACAAGATGGCCAACAGGGGAGGGCAGTTGTGAGGGACCAGGCCTGCAAGGAATGGCAGTTGGGGACGATCAGACCAGCAAGGGGGGGGGGGCAGTTAGGGGTGAGCAAGCCGGCATAGGAGGGAAATTGGAGGTAACCGGGCCTGCAGGGAAGGGCAGTTGGGGGGGGGGGGGGCAGGCCTGCAGGGGAGAGCAATTAGGGACAAACAGGCTAGCAGAGGAGGGAAGTTGGGGGCAAATAGGCTGTCGGGAGCATTTAGGTGTCAGTCAGGCTGGCAGAGGAGTGGTTGGGGGCGGGGGGTGATCAGGCAGGCATGCAGAAGCAATTAGGGCAATCAGAAGGAAGGCAGGCAAGCAATTAGGAGCCAGCAGTCCTGGATTGTAAGAGGGATGTCCGACTGCCCATTAAGGCCTGATCCCAGTAGGAGATGGATGTCTAGGAGACCGATCCTGGTAGGATTGGTTCTAAACAGGCAGTCGGACATCCCCAGCAGGATCCCAGATTGGAGAGGGTGCAGGCTGGGCTGAGGGACACCCCCATGCATGAATTTCATACACCAGGCCTCTAGTAATGCTATAAATATAAGAAATATTTAGGAGGTGAAAAAGAAGAGAAAATATTTAGGAGATAAAATTGAAAGGACTGAGTGATTTGATGTTTGTGGTTTAGAAGGAGTCAAGGGGAAAAGGAATGACTGGCTAAATGTTGCAACTACCAATGGATATAGAAAAGTGTGTCTATGGTGACTCACTTTGAAAGCCAATGACACATTCAGGTGGAAATATCCAAAAGATATTTGGATATATAACAAGATGAAATTCAAGGACCAGGTAAAAGGATAACCATATAGATCTGGTTATAACCTTAAGTTATCCCAACTTAAATTTATCAGGACATAAATTTAAGTTGGAGTCATGTGCCTAAACATATTTATTTTTGTTGTTTTTTTACAGTCCTTCATTACAGTTTGAAGCTGCTTGGGCATTAACTAATATAGCATCAGGAACTTCTGCACAGACTCAAGCTGTTGTACAGTCTAGTAAGTAAATTAGCTTTCTTACTTAATGGACTTTTTATTTATTTTTAATAAAGACAAAAAAGTAGAGTTTTATTGTAATTTTATTTTGTAACTGGTAAATTTTATAAATTATGACTTCTTTCCCATAGGTGTCATTAATCTATTATTAAATAATTTTAATTGTGGTTACTAAAATGTGAATAAAATTTTATCTTTTTAGATAGAGACCATCTTCTAATAACAGGTTTTAAATTTTCTGTTTCTGATACCTTCAGGGTGCTAAGTATCTAATGCTTTTTAGCTTGCAGCATATATATTTTTTAAAGTATACCTAACTCAAGATGGGATAAATGTATTAATGTGTTGACCAAAATGACAAAACTTTTTCTTGGGAGGGGGAAATATGTCACCAAGTACTGTTAAAATGTGGGACACTAACCTGACTTTAGGTGTGCTCAGATGATGTTAAATAGTCTACTAGTAGTATATGGTAATAAGTTACATTGCTGTAGTGAGAATACTGTTCTCTTTTAGTTTTCTTTTTAGATATTTGATAATGTCTAGGAGACCGTTTCTAGTTAAATTTTTAGTTGTAACAGAAAGGGAACAGGTCTTTCAATGTAGACTAGTAGGAATAATTTAATAACAGTGTTTTGTTTTCATTTTTTAACTTTTTGGTTACCTTCTTAAAAGATTAATCAGCCCTTGCTGGTTTGGCTCAGTGATCAGATTGTTGGCCTGTGGACCGAAGGGTCCCGGGTTCAGTGTTGGTCAAGGGCACATACCTCAGTTGCAGGCTTCTCCCTAGCCCGGGCCCTGTTCAGGGCTCGTGCAGGAGGCAACTAATCCATGTGTTTCTCTTTGTATTTCCCTCCTCTCTAAAAACCGATGGAAAAATATCCTCAAGTGAGGATTTTTTTTTTTTTAATTGTATAGTTACTATATGGCTCAGCAGTTCGACTACTAGATGGAACCAAGAGATATGAAACTGTTCACACAAAGACTTTTACACAGGTGTTTGCAGCAGTACTCATAATAGCCCCAAAATGGAAATACATTAGATAATGGGTTGATAAACAAATATGGTACACAATTGAATACTCTTCAACAGTAAAAAGGAATGAAATACGGATACATTCTGTAACATGGATGAATCTTAACAACCTCATGTTAAGTTAAAGAAGCCAAACACACACAAAAACATATCTTATACAATTTTATCTATGAAATGTTTGAAATAGGAAAATATATGGAGAAGGAAAGCAAATTAAACGGTTGCCTGGGGCTGGGGTACTAGGCTGCAAGAATTACGGTGGATGAGGGATTTCTTTCGGAGGTGATGGAAATGTGTTAAGATTAGATTGTGGTGATAGCTGCACAATATTTTATTAATACTAAAAAACCATTGAATTGTTCACTTACAAAAATTATCTTTTATGTAAGTTATATCTTAATAAAGCTATTAAAGGTGTGATAAATTTTAAATGTTAAGTACATAATAATACAGTTAAGGCAGAGATACAGCAAAAAATCTTAGAGGTAGTACACAATTGGCTGAAATTTACAAAAAGGTGACCTGGTTTAACACTTAGTTTTTTATATGGATGAATATAATACCAGTGTTTTAGAATTTGGGTTAAAATGTAAGTTATGTAAATAGTAAGAATTGTAATGATAACTTACTTTAAAATATAAAGTAGGCCAGATATAGGAATAATCAGGTCTTTAGTTAATCCCATATCAGCAATTGAGATTACATTGACTAAGGTTATGCATTTGGTATAGGAACTTTTTTTTTTTAAAATATATATTTTATTGATTTTTTATAGAGAGTAGGAGAGAGTGATAGAGAGCTCGAAATGTCAATGAGAGAGAAACATTGACCAGCTGCCACTTGCACACCCCCTACTGGGGATGTGCCCGCAACCAAGGTACATGCCCTTGACCGGAATCGAACGTGGGACATGCCCTTGACCGGAATCGAACCTGGGACTTTTCAGTCCACAGACCGACACTCTACCACTGAGCCAAACCAGTTTCGGCAGGAACTCTTTTTTAAATATAAACAAAATTTTTAAAACAGTATAGGGAAAATTGCTGCTTTTTGCTTTCAGTTAATGATGTAAGAGCAAATTTTACATACTGTTAATTAGGTTTGCTACTTGAATATTATCGATACTAAGGAAAATACTAAAATTGATTATTTTTAGAGTAAAAGTATTTGCCCCAATTTTTAAATTCAACTATATTATGCCTAATTCTGTGTATTTTATCAGCTAATTTAGGCTTAAAAATCAATAAACTCTTCAACATTTTGCAGTCTAAATATCAGCTTTTTAAAAAATTATAGATGCCGTACCTCTTTTTCTGAGACTTCTTCATTCACCACATCAGAATGTTTGTGAACAAGCAGTATGGGCGTTGGGAAACATTATAGGTAAGTTGCATTTAGGTTTCAAAAGACTTTAATTAAGAATCTTAATTAACTTTTTTCCTACATTGGCATAGTCATTACACACTATGTTTCCTCTAATTTTTAACTTGGGTTGACTATCTTTTTGCCTTATAAATACTAACTTAAAATGATAACTCTTTGGCACTAGCTAGTTTGGCTCAGCAGCTAAAGCGTTGGCCTGTGGACTCAAGGTTCCCAGGTTGGATACTGGTCAAGGGCACATACCAAGGTTGCAGGCTCCACCCTGGCCTGGGCCCTGGTCGGGGCACGTGCAGAAGGCAACCAGTGGATGTGTTTCTCTTACATTGGTATTTCTCTCTGTCTTGCCCTTTTTCTATAACTGTCTAAAAATCAATGGAAAAATATCCTCAGGTGAGGATTAAAAACTATATGTAATACCTCTTTGAAACAGATATGCAATTTCCTATCAAGATTGGTAGGTTATATTTGTGTTCCCCCCAAGTCAAAGTCTGGAGAAACAGCAACCCTTGATGCCCTTGACTAATGGTGAGGAAACATAGAACATCAGTGTCCCAACATGAGCCATTGCATACATTTCAGACTTTCTCATCCTGAATGTAATTTTTTTTTAAATACAATTTTCATTTCTGTAGGTGATGGTCCTCAATGTAGAGATTATGTCATATCACTGGGAGTTGTCAAACCTCTTCTGTCCTTCATCAATCCCTCCATTCCCATCACCTTCCTTCGGAACGTCACATGGGTCATTGTCAATCTCTGCAGGAATAAGGACCCCCCACCGCCTATGGAGACAGTTCAGGAGGTAAATGAAGAGTTGCAAAGGCCAGATGGTATATTTTCCCTATGTTTATGCTTTAGATTTTCGTGTATAGTGAATGCAATAATGTATATACAGATTTCATTGCAGGTGTGGTTTTCAAAGTAGCGTGTCATTTAATTTTCGACTCCTGTGAAAAAGTATTTTATAGCACCTGAAAGAATTTCAGTCCACCCTAATTCTTATTTTTAATGACTATTTCATAAAAAGAAAATATTAACAATTCAAAAAGAAAAGAGGAGAAAAGAAAATAGTAAAGTTTTAATATATTGCATTGTTAGTTTAACACTAAAAAAATAAGGAATTCCTACAGATGAATCTAGTGTACTTGTTATATGCAAATGTTCTTGAGTATATTTACAATAAGTCCAATTAAAATTTGTGATTTCTGACAAATTTCATATTCTTAAATGTATGACATGCTTAGTGTTAAGTCTACAATTAAAATAAAGTAAAAACTCTTCTACTTACATCTAGTTAATAAATGAATCTGAGTATTTTAAATTTTAGAAATCATACATAACCTTTAATCACTTGACTGTATAGAGAAATGTTGACTATGAATCTTTATAATTGACATCTTTTGCTGTTATGGAAAGAGTATTTAATGTGATTCCTATCCCAGATTAAAAAAAAAAAAAAATATATATATATATATATATATATATATATATGTGTGTGTATATATATATATTTGTAAAGATTGAGTTCAACAAACAGACTTCATACTTTGTACTGGTTATAATTTTCTTGACTAAATCTGAAATCAAAAACTTTAATTTGACTCAACTAGCTTATTAAATAAAATATTTTATTGTACGCAAGTAGGATGATGGCAGTTTTAAGAGTAGCTTTTTAAAATAGTAGCTACACTGTATACTTACATCTCCATTCTTTCCACTTGACATTATAAGTCATAAAGAAAGTTATGAAACAAACATTTTTCCTTTAAGGTGCATTAATCTCTGCCAGATGTATTTGTATACTTTAATTGGACATCTGAAATATCATTTTGGTTTTTCAGATTGAACTGATCAAATTTCTATTTTCCTAATAGAGTCAAACAAATTTAATGTTGTCTTTCTTACCCTGCAAATAGTATTTACTGCTTTTTTTAAGTTATTCATGTTTACAAAGACATATTCATCAACTCTAGTGTTACTTATTGTTTATCTTCTTTCCTCAGATTTTACCAGCATTATGTGTCCTCATATACCATACGGACATAAATGTAAGTAAAGTAGGAGCTTAGACGTGGGATTTTGCTCTTGATGAAACTAGAAAGGTTTTATTTATTTATTCTTTGAGATTTTAATAAATATCAGCATATATCTTATTCATTTGCCAAACTTACACAATGTATAAATAGTTTTCAGAAATAGGGTTAAAGTTAAGTTTATAGCTTACGTCATCCAGGCAGCAAAATGCTAACCTTATGAAAAAAAGCACATATGTAGTTTACTTATCTGTATGATTATTAGGTGTGTTTTTATTAAGTATTAATACTTATAAAGCGGTCAAAAGTTTATAAAGCATATTCATATTTTTAAATATATTTTATTGATTTTTTTTTTTTTTACAGAGAGGAAGAGAGAAGGATAGAGAGTTAGAAACGGATGAGAGAGAATCATTGATCAGTTGCCTCTTGCACACCCCCTACTGGGGATGTTCCCGCAACCAAGGTACATGCCCTTGACCGGAATCGAACCTGGGACCTTTCAGTCCACAGACCGATGTTCTACCACTGAGCCAAACCGGTTTCAGCTAGTTTTATAATGTTTTTAATATATTTTTATTGATTTTGAAAGAGAGAGATGCCTTCCACATGCCTCCTGACCAGGGATCGACCCTGAAACCTAGGCATGTACCCTAACCAGGAATCGAACCAGTGACCTTTCATTGCACAGGACAACACTCAACCAACTAAAGCACACCAGCCAGGGCCTAAATTGGCGGTCGGACATCCCCCGAAGGGTCCCAGATTGAAGAGGGTGCAGGTTGAGGTGAAGGCCCTGCAGAGAGCAGAGAACCGTGGGGAGCGGGCCTACGCTGTCAGATATCCCCGGAGGGCTCCCGGATTGGAGAAGTGCAGGTCGAGCTGAGGGACCCCCCCCCCCCATGCACGAATTTCGTGCACTGGGCCTCAAGTATGTAATATAAAAGAAGGGGGAAGTAAAATTATACAAAAATGCATATGTTGCTATTAAATGTCAAATTTAGTTCTGTGCTTTCTGACAGCCTTTCTAACCATTACTGTTTTTCAGCATGCTTGCATCAATCTCCTTAAACCTACTATAATAACAAAATAGGTTTATCTACATTCACTTTTCTCTATTCCAAATTCACCAAGATAATAAGTTATTTCTATAACAAATGGGAGCACATAACTCTGCTGTTTAAAAAATCATCAATGACTCCGTATTCACTAGAAGGCAAAGCCCAAACTTCTTAAACACAGGATTCAAAACTCTGCAATTTAACTCCCTCACAAATGTGTTGGGTTAACTACCTGTATTCTTCAAATCCTTTAGGTATTAACGAGTCCTGAATATCTTTCCTCATCTTTCTGAAATCTTTTTTCACTTGACAAAATTTTCTTTTTCTTTTCTTTTTTTTTAAATATATTTTATTGATTTTGTACAGAGAGGAAGGGAGAGGGATAGAGAGTTAGAATCATTGATGAGAGAGTCATCGATCAGCTGCCTCTTGCACACCCCCTACTGGGGATATGCCCGCAACCAAGGTACATGCCCTTTACCGGAATCCTTTCAGTCCCCAAGCCGACGCTCTATCCATTGAGCCAAACCTGTTTCGGCTCAAGTGTTACTTTTTCATTGACGCTTTCTGATTGCCAGAGAGAATATGTGCTTCCATAATCTAGCATTTGGTCATTCCTCCAATTTACTTTATTTTCTTGTTTGTTTTCATACCATATTGTGTTTTTAATGTGATCATGGTGTGAAAGAGCACAGGCCTTGGACCTAGTTTCAATTCTTAGCCATGGCTCTTATTCATCATTGTACAAACTTAGATTATTTTACATTACTGAGTTTCAATATCCTTATCTGTAAAATAGGAGAAGAAAACATCTTATAAAAGAGATAGTAAAGATAAAAAGAGACAATAGAAATAGGTTCAACATAGATAGTCATTGACAAAACTTAACTACTTTCATTTTTTTTTTAATCTGATAACTAATGTTGAGGTCTTAGAGGGCAGGGTCTCTATGTCTTTTTATTTTTACGCCTGTAATTCATGGCACAATTCTGGCTTTAGGGGAGTAATCTCTGAGTGTTTATGTTAAACTTAAATATAACTGCAGTACTTTGCCATTTTAATACCCCTGGTTTTCAAATAAACACAACCAACAGATGGTAGAAGGCTTTATCTATAACCAATTTCATAATGTCCTGGGGGAAAGTCTTGATGGAAATATTAGATATTTTACTTTTTTCCTTTTAATCTTTGCTGTCAGAAAGCATAGAACTAAATTTGGCATTCAGTAGCAACATATACATTTTTGTATAATTTTACTTCCTCCTTACTTTTATGTTTATTATCATATATGTCTTGCTAAGTCACTTTTTTATCCATTTTGAAAATAGGATAGCATATAACTAAAAATGTCAAGCTTAATTTTTATGACATTTCAGGCTAATATGTCACAAATAGAAAGTTATTTCAGTTACTTTTAAATTGTTCCTTCCTAAAAACATAATGTCCTAAAATAAACTAGAGAAATGTGGTCCAGTGTTTATTTATGAACCACACTGCCTCTTAAGAACTATTAACAAAGATGTATATTTCTTCATCCCAATGATAAATCACACAATTCTGGGACAAACACACATATGGTTGTGTGTAAACTAAGATAAGATTATAAAAACACAAACAAATCAGAAAGGGATCTTAGTTTGAACAATATAAGCCAGATCAATGCTAACCTCAATTCTAGATTCAGTGAAATTTACCCATTGTTGTACTCCATGGAAGAATAGCACTTGCTACATTTAGGAGAAAAAGATAAAGTGAGGAATTTCAAATAGAAATGATCAAGTAGAAAAAGTAAAAATTACTTTTGTCTCTAATTTGGCAATTTGAATAGATATTAATGCCATGAACCATGAAGGAATAAAGAAAAGGGATGAGATTGGTAGAGGAAGATGATGAGTTTATTATAGGACAGACATTTCGATTCTGATTTACTTGTTTCTCCATAACAGTGTTTCCAAGAAGGAAAAAGTGGTACAAATTTGAGATTTATCAGTATTTAAGAGATTTAATTATGGAGTATGTTTTAGAAAAGGGGTAAAAAATTGAATTTTAAGGAATCATTTGAGCAGCAACAACAATGGAAGAGGAACATGCAAAAGAATTTTTTTTAAGTTGAGAGGTGGACCCCTGGCTGGGTGGCTCGGTTAGTTGGAGTATCATCATCCATACACCAAAAGGTTGCAAATTCATTTCCTAGTCAGGGCACATACCTAGGTTGCAAGTTTGATCCCCAGTTGAGATGCATAAAAGAGGCAAGCCATCAATGTTTCTCACATCAATGTTTTTTTCTCTCTCTCTCAATAAATGATATTTTTTTACTCTTTTTACTTTTTACAACAACAGTTGATGAGCTTATGTTTGCTGTGGGGGTTTTTTCTGTTCTCATCCTCCCACTTTTGAATCTGTATGTTTATGTCTATTGTTAAATTGGGGATATATTCTGCTATTATTCAAATATTTTTTTAGCTCCACCTCTTCTTTTGAGACTGAGATGACACAAATGTTTGATCTTTCATTGTTGTCCTACAAGTCCCTGAAACTGTTCATTTCTTTGCAGTCATTTTTTGTTTATTTTTCTTATTCTGGTTGCATGTTTTGTATTGATCTGTCTTTGAATTTGTTGTTGTTTTTCCTGTTTCCATTTTACTCTTGAATCCTTCTAGTGAGTTTTAAAATTTAGTTACTGAATTTTTCAGTTTTAAATTTTCCTTTGGTTCTTTTTAACGTCTTCTGTTTCTTTGCTGAGACTTCCTATATTTGTTTCACACATGTTCATAATTGCTCATAGAACCATTTTTATGATAGTTACTTTAAAATTCTTGTGGATAATTTTAATATCTATGTCATCTCAGTATTAGCATTTGCTAACTAGTTTTTTTTCCCTTTTGAGTTAAGATGATCCTGGTCCTTGGTATAAAGAGTCATTTTCAGTTTTAGCCTTCAAATTTTGGCTATCTTATGAGCCTCTGATTTCTATTTTAATCTTGTTAGCTGTTACAGCCAGACTGGGCAGTAGGCAGGCTTTGTCCTCACACATATCTGTAGATCTATGGTGGGATGGAAGGTGGGGTCAGCTCTCAGGCAGAGCATCTGTCCTCCCATTTTTGAAATTGCAGTATTTCCATTTTTCCAGAACAAAAAAGCATTTATAAATTATTATATCACTCTTATTCCCACACTTGTATTAGTCTTTGATCTCCAGTGAGATATTTCCTCAGTCATCTTAGTTGAATGAAGCTCCTCCTCTAGTAAAGATATCAGTAAATGTTTCTGTAAAGGACATAGAAATTATTGTAGGCTTTTGGGTTACATGGTCTCTGTCTCAATAATGTGGAATAGTTTTGCTAGGACATGTTACCGTTAACATATGTTACCCCCTCTCTTTTATGAAGTTTCACACAAGCTTGGGGCAGGAGATCCAGACAAGAACTTGAATTATAGAAGTAATTTGAAATTCGTAGTGTTCTCTTAGTAATGCTGAAAGTGTAGGCTATATGTACTTTATTTGCTCTTATTCATCTATACAAGTTTTTGAAGGAGTGGAGAGATTTGAATGCAGATGGCTGCTATTATTTAGCACAAAAGAATGTTTTTAATTTGGATAAGCCTAATAGGAACATGTGTAGATTTCACATGAGATAAGACCTGTGCAATATTCCTCTATGAAGACATCAACGAGAGCTACATATAGGCTGCTCGACTTTGAATGAATCAACGAATCTGAGCCTTATTTTTGTTTTTTTATTATTTGCAAAATTAGACTTGTATAGGGCATGTTTTATACTCTGAGCTCTTTAAGTGGGGTCATTTTTCAAAAGCTTTGCAAATAATTAATTTGTTTAAATGAAATAAAAATGACATTTTTATTTGATTTGTTTGATATTCTGAAAAATCATTTATATTGCTAAATATGTTTGAAAACTACTAGTATAGAGAGATAATCTTTTTGGTCTCTTCTGGACTTAAGGCTGCATAGTATATTGGTTTTATTTTGTGTATAAAGTGTTTTCTTGTGATTATTAGGTTCTCAATTTGTGGGGGCAGGTAGAATTACTTTTCTGCCTGTTTTTAAATTCATCTATCTGATGTATAACTGCAGGAGTTAGGGTAAAAGTTTCCAGACTTCTGTGTGTCATTTTTGTGAAAAGTGATCCTGAGGTAGGCTTTGAGAGATAGCTACCTACTACTTAATAGATTTATCAGGTAAGTAACCAGATTCAAATATAAAATTTAATTACTTTTTATGTCATCACCCCTGAGATCTATTATGTATTTTAAGAATTCAGACAAATACATAAACTGCCCTCTTTTTTTTCTTTTTCCTTCCTCTAGATTCTTGTAGATACTGTTTGGGCTCTGTCATACCTGACAGATGGAGGTAATGAGCAAATACAGATGGTTATTGATTCAGGGGTTGTTCCATTTCTTGTGCCCCTTCTGAGTCACCAGGAAGTGAAAGTTCAAGTAAGTACTTTACAATTTTTTTTTCTTATATAACCACGAGGCTTCATTTCTGTCTATATGCACCTGTTTTCCATAATTCTGCTTTTTTATACTGAACCTGATTTTGTTGATTTCCAAATTTTTATCTCACCCAGATTCTTGACTGAGTTTTAGACTCATTTGCCAATTGTCCTTAAGCCCTCAGACAGAAATGATAGGTGTATCTCCTTCTAGTGGACAGGGGCATAGTCCACGCTGGAAACTTTGAGTCTTCCTTTCATTCCCCCTCCTACAAAATCCTGTCCATTCTGGTTACATAGCTTCGTGTCTATCTCCTTATGTATCTAGAGCCACTGATTTAGTTCAAGATTTCTTTTCTTTCCTCCAGATAATTGCAATAGCATCCTAACTGCATTCCCTCCTCTCTCTCTTTCATCCCAGTTTCTTCTCCGTATAATTGGGTGTACATGGCTGATAGATCTGTTCATCCCACTTCTGCCAAAGTAACTTTCTAGATGGAAATGCTTGCCCATTCCAGGCTTTTATTACAATCTTCCTGTGGTACCAGATTAATAATAGATTAAAAAAAAAAAAAAAACAGCTGTTAAAAATGGGCCTTTACATTTTTTATTTTAATTTTCTTTTATTTTTTGAATCTTTTCCTGCACAATTTTCCCATATAGTTCCATTTTTCACAGACTAGTGTTTAAAATTGCTTCTTAGTTCTGTGCAGTGCTTTGTGTGAGGATGCAGTAAGTGGAAATCATTCACCCCTTGAATTTTTACATTTTCTCAGGATTATGAACAATAGAGAATCCAATTCATCATAAACAAATAAATTTATAGAAAATATTTTATCCCATCCCAGACGGCAGCACTCAGAGCAGTTGGCAACATAGTGACTGGCACCGATGAGCAGACCCAGGTTGTTCTCAACTGTGATGTCCTGTCACACTTCCCAAACCTCTTGTCACACCCGAAGGAGAAGATAAATAAAGTAAGGCATATATCCTCAGTGCATTTCTTTCTGTCTGTATATCTCATTTTTAACTGTTCCTTTGTTTCATTGTTGCTATTTGATTGTGATTTTCTTCAAAATCACAGCAGTTAAGATGAATATTATTTCAAATTACTCTGTAATTATTTTCAGTTTTTAATTGCTTGCTATAAGTCTCACCCTTTTATCACAGGATAAAAAAATACTTTTATACTAACTAGAGTTTTTATTTAAATAAATTAAGTAGTAGCAACAGCAAATCAGTAGATATTCGATGAGAAATACAAAATCTCTCACTAGATGGCTGGTATCTTTTATAAACAAACTAGAGGGCCGAGGGCCGATGCATGAAATTCGTGCAAGAGTAGGCCTTCCTCGACCTCCCTCCCAGCCAGGGGCAGCTGCCTGATCCCTCCCTCGCAGCTGTGGCTGCTGCCTCGATCCCACAGCTGCAGCACTGGCTTTGTCCCAGAAGGACGTCCAGAAGGACTTCTGGTCTGAACATATTATGCTTTTATTATTATAGAGAAACCATATTTTAATCTCCCTATGAAATTAGATTGGATCTAAAGATGTGGGCCTGAATTCAAAGATAATATAAATTGCTTTTTTTTTTTTTTTTTTTTTTTTTTCAAGATTTCAAGCTTGAGGTACAAACTTATTACTAATTAATTGTTAAAAATCTACTTAAGTCTTTTTGTGTCTGGCTGATTTCATATTGCTAATGTTTTCAAGGTTCATTCATGTTGGAGCATGTATCAGAACTTCATTTCTTTTTATCATTGAATAAATATTCCATTGGACCTAAAGAACATATTTTGTTTATCCATTCACCTATTGATGGAAACTTGGATTGTTTTAACCTTTTGGCTATTGTGAATGATGTTGATTTATGAATATGGACATACTAGTATCTGTTTTAGTCCCTGCTTTCAGTTCCTTTGGGTATATATCTAGATTTGCCAAGTCATGTGATAATTCCATGTTTAGCTTTTTGAGGAACTGCCAAACTGATTTCCATAGTGGCTGTATCATTTTAATTTCCACAATGATAAGGGTGGTTCATGCCACCCAGTGGTATGAAGTGATATCTAATGATTTTGATTTGTATTTAGTTTAATGCGGTTTTAGCTGCCTGAAATGTCACCATCCTCCAAACCAGATAATTAATCATTTCTTCTATTAAAGCTATATGTATGTAGTTGCTTGACTATTACAGTTGGATTCTTATGGAAAAGTATATTGTCAGAAATCATATTTTATAGATAAAGGGAAAGAAGCCAGAGTTTCTTACCAGTAGTCTCTGGGCCAATATTTTTGTTATAAAATTTTCAATAATATGAGTGATTTTTATAGCTATCTAAATGTATTCCATAATTGAAAACAGAGCTGAGAAGTGAGGAAGCCAGACAACAGTGAGTGGAGAGAAGTTTCAGCTTCTAAGTGAATTCAATATGCTCTAAGTAAAGGAAGGTATCATGGCAGAAAGAAAAAAGACTCATAGATACTCAGCTTCAGCAAGTAGTTGCTTCAGAATTTTTCAGCTGGAGTGTTTGTGTTATTTGCATCTTGGGACCATTGTGGGACCCTAGAGGTAGGATTTACCAAGTTGGTTTTATTCACTCAACATTTTAGTTATAAAATTTTCCAACATACAAGTTTTTCAACAATACTGTAATGAACACTCATATACTCTAAATACTGATTGGATGGCAAAATAAATTTATAATTAAATCTTAATTGCAGAGGAGGGAGAAGGTACACATTTGACACTAAAATTACAATAAGCCTGTTGGTTCATGACTTGTAAATCCTTAATGTTGCAGGAAGATTAGTTATAAAGAGCCATCCTAGCCTAGTTAGATGTTGATTTATATCATGTAAGTAAATCATTTTATAATAGAGCAACTCACCTTTCTTAGAATTAGTTTTAACAAAATATTAGGAAATTCAGATATTTATTTCTTTATTTATCATCTGTCTTTTAGAGGGAGCTCATACACCAAAAATGTAAAAAGCTGCATGAGTAAAGTTTTTTTTCTGTTTTATTTTCTGCCATGTCACCATTGTTCAAAATAGTTCCTATCTTATGGTAGGTGGCATATATTTTATTGAATGGATAAATGCTAGGTTAATGGGGTCCAAATATTATTAATAGAAATTTCCTTATAGTTTATTTAAATTGGGAGATTCTGTATAATCTAATCACTTTTAGATACTTTTTCCATAATGCAACTCAGGTGATTTTCTTATGTATGTAAACTACATTAAAATAACAATATAAACACATTAAAGATATAATTTTTCAAATAAAGGTGCCCTGTATTTTATTCAACTATAGGAAGCAGTGTGGTTCCTTTCCAACATAACAGCAGGCAACCAACAACAAGTTCAAGCTGTAATAGATGCTGGATTAATCCCTATGATTATTCATCAGCTTGCTAAGGTCAGTCACACTATGAGTTCATCATGTATGTTAATATCTTATAACCAAAACTTTTTAAATAAAAATTCATTTTATCATTTCTTTTGTAATCTTTAGGGGGACTTTGGAACACAAAAAGAAGCTGCTTGGGCAATTAGCAACTTAACAATAAGTGGCAGAAAAGATCAAGTGAGTTTGGAGAAACTAACTGTTACGATTGTTCATATTGGAAGTATACTGCTGGATCATGATTAGGAATTACTGATTGGCCCTAAACTGTTTGGCTGTGGATAGAGTGTCGGCCTGTGGACCGACGGTCCTGTGTTTGATTCCGGTCAAGGGCACGTACCTTGGTTGCAGGCTCCTCCCCAGCCTGGGCCCTGGTCAGAACTTGTGCAGGAGGCAACCAATCGATGTGTTTCTCTCACATTGACATTTCTCTCTCTTTCCCTCTCTCTCCCACTCTCTCTCTCTAAAAATCAATGGAAAAATATCATCAGTTGAGGATTTAAGGAAAAAAAAATTAAAAGAAAAAAAAAGAATTACTGATTGTTTATAAACCCTATACTGTGTTCTTTTTGAGGAAAAGATAATTACATAAATAAAAATATTTTTCTCTTTTGTTGTCTAGGTTGAGTACCTTGTACAGCAGAATGTAATACCACCGTTCTGTAATTTACTGTCAGTAAAAGATTCTCAAGTTGTTCAGGTGGTTCTAGATGGCCTGAAAAACATTCTGATAATGGCTGGCGATGAAGCAAGCACAATAGCTGAAATAATAGAAGAATGTGGAGGTAAGAGTGGATTTATTAAAGAAAAATAGTGGAGCCATGGACCTCTGAAACATTAGTTCCTTAAAAGACAAATAATTAGAAAGAAAACTTAGGATACGTTGCTGTTACATCAAGGGGGGATATTGCTGTTCTTTATTTTTAATATTAGCATTCCAAGAGGATTTCCCAGGAAACAGCCCATACTTTGGAAAAACTGGTGTGACGGTCACTCCATAACCTGCCTAGAGATCACATTGTTTTTAGGGAACACAGATACTCCTCTTGAAGTCAGATTGTTGACAACATTAGACTGGAAGTATTTTTTTAATAAAAAGAAGAAATTATCCTAGAAAATAAGGAGTCTTGTCAGTGGTCACAGAAGAATAATTAGTTATAAAAGCGTAATTAGCAATTCAAGGTGCAGATTCGATCCCCCATTGGGCACATTTAAGAGTTAACCAATGAATGATAAATAACTAGAATAGATCAATGTATGTTTCTCCCTTTTGCTCTCTCTCCCCTCCTTCTACTCTCTTAAAATCAGTATAGATTTGTGCACCTGATATATGGAGTAAATATATTGGGAATATAAATGAAGGTCTTGTACAGTTACTGTTCTGAAAAATTATTTCCAAAGTTCATTGTGACCATAGGACATAAGCCCCTATTCATTTTTTAAAAGAAAATACTTCAAAATTTAAAAACTAATTTTTTATTTTTCTCAGTTAATCCCTAAGTTTCTGAAATCTTATTTTTGCAGTTATATAAAAGTAGTAATATTTGGAAAACAAAGAAAAAGATAAAAATTATTATATGGGATTATATTAATATGATTATATTAAAGCAGTCGGGAAGGTCTTAGTTGTGGTTCTGGCACTAACATGCCACACAATCTGAAGCAAATGCTTTTATATCTGTGTGCCACAGCTCCCTCATCCATCAGATGGAGTGTCCGGATGCTTTTATAACTGCCTGCTTTAGGGACCAGGGTACCTCATGGGCTTCTAAAGAGGAAGAAATTAGTGGGATATTGATCCTCCAACCAGAACACTTTTTAGAAAAACTATTATCTTTGCGGGGCTGTGGGAGAGTGGCCTGAATTCTTTAGGATTTTTCTGATTAAAATGATCACAGTTTTTATTGTATCTGCTTAATTATTATCTGCTTAATTTTGGGGGTAGGTTTGGAGAAAATTGAAGTTTTACAGCAACATGAAAATGAAGACATATATAAATTAGCATTTGAAATCATAGATCAGTATTTCTCCGGCGATGATGTAAGTATATATTAAAGTATGGTGTGTCTGCATGTACATTAAAAACATATATATATATATATATATATATATATATATATATATATATATATGGCTAAATGACTGACTGTACATCCATCCAACCGACCGGTACTGGCAGTTGACTCGCGCATGCACGATGCATATAATAAAGCTCTCAGCGGCGCCAACTAAACAGAATAGGAATAGTCCCACCTAAACCCATTTTCGGACAGAGTCAGTTATATGTTGCTTTCTCTCGAATTTGAAGGGCGTGTGACAAAGTTAAAGTTGTAAGTACTTCATCACAAGGGAAATTAGTCAAACACTCAAACTGTTAAGTGTTTGACTAATTTCCCTTGTGATGAAGGGAAATACTCAATATGGTATTCAGGGAGATAATTAGAAATTTAATCAATTTATCAGTCATTGTTTTTATCAATGTTTTTATATCATGTCTTTGTTGTTATATCATGTTTATTGCTTATTAATCAATTTATATATTATTTCATATACATTTTACTAATTTTCTTTCATCTCTGACTCTTCTATTATAGAGAAAGGGCAAATAGCAATATTAAAATATTTCCTCTAATTAATTTCCTTTCAATGCGCACGAATCCGTGCAGCAGGCCTCTAGTACATATATAAATTTACTAAGAGTTTTTCTTTTATTATTATGAATTAAGTTATACTATATTTCTATCAGATACCCTTGGGGTTATATTTTTCCAGTTACTTATGAAACTCTAAATTTAAAAAATTGATGATTATTTTCCACCAGCCTGTTTTCTTAAATACTATGTCTGAAACTTCATTATAATAAAATCATAAAAACGGTTCTTGTTGCATTTGTAATCTGTTAAATGGGAAGAGATAGTAATTATAAAAGTTAGGTTTGTTTAGATAGGTACAATCTAAAGATGTGGGAACTTAAGAGCAGTGCAATTTTTAAATATGTGTTCAATTTTATATTGCTAAAGTTCTGAATAATATTACTGACAAATATTTTTAAGTAGTTAAAACATCTGTACAGAATTTTTTTAAAGAAGTAAATCAGTTCTACTTACACTATAATGTATAGTATCTTAATATAATCAGGATTATTTTTCTTGCTTTTTATAGATTGATGAAGATCCTAGCCTCATTCCTGAAGCAACACAAGGAGGTACTTACAATTTTGACCCGACAGCCAACCTTCAAACAAAAGAATTTAATTTCTGAGTTCAGTTGAATGCAGCATCTTTCCCACATTCAGTATGAAGCACCACCAGATGGCTACCAAATGAGAAGAACAACTAAAGGCTCCAAAACACAAATGCCTCTTCGTTTTGATGCTTCTAAAGCAAGCCATGTCTCAGTCACTTTGCAGTTGCCAAAAGTCACTCTCACATGGACTGTAAATGCATATGCATGATTTCCTAAACTGTTTTAGAATTCTCCTTAACAATTTCAACTACCCTATTATTCCCTGTTCCCTGGTGCCACACGCTGACAGCTGCAATCTCCAGTTTAGAATATTCCATAGTGGTGGCGCGTCAGCTGTCCACTCGATATTCCTTTGGAAAACGGTGCGCTGTGGATCAAGACACTTTGGTATGATGTATATACACGTTGGAAGACTTTAAAGAGGTGCAGCCTGATCTGAGCCTCCATCATTGTCCTCCACAAACATATTTTCATATTCTTTATGTGGAAAAATAGATTTTAAAGTACAAGCCAAATGATTTTCATTGGTGGAACTGACACACAAAAAGTAACTTTAAAAAAGAAATTATTGATTAAACAGATAAGTTTTGAAAAACTGTACTTCATCTACCAGTAATTGATGTGTTTGTTATCTGCCTCAGAAGCCAGGGTTGGAGGAAGAACTTTAGCTATGGATGGCCTTCGCCATTATACCTAATTTTTGAGAACAGCAAGCCCTATTTGACCACTCACTTCAGCCTGTGTGTTCCTGCTGTTTTGAAGTAATCAAATGCTGTGCATGGTATTTTACCTGAGCTGCAACCTGTTATGGACTTGAACTTCTGTTTAAGTTGAAAGCAAGAGTCCCTGACTATAAAGAAAAAAACAAAGGTCTAAAGTACACATTGGTGATATTAAAAAAGAAAATCTTGCTTTTAGCTTTCAGGAGTTAATATTTTCATTTTCAGTTGATAATTGGATATGGTTGATTTGTATTGGGTTTAAACTGTGGAGCTTTCATGTTTACTGTAATTTAGTCTTAAAATATTTTTTACTTAGTAACCAGTGCTTTTGATAATGTGGTTGGCAACAGACCAGCAACTATTAAGGCGTGTCATCAAACTTCATTCTTCGAGTATTAGGAAAGTTAATTCAGATTTTACTCTAAGCATATTCGCAAATTAAAAGATTCAGACACGATCTGTGTAGAGGAATAATCTGCAATTATTTAACATAAACCTGATTTGCAGTGATCTTTAAGTACATACAGAAAATCTGATATTATTATACCAGTCACTGCTTTTGGTAAATTGTTTGACCCTGTTATTAATGAAAAATATGAATTTGAAGTTTTTAAAACAATAATTTATGCTGTCACCTAAATGGTTTTATTGCTATTGTTTACTGGGTATTGTTTTCCAATGCATTGATGTGAAGAGATAGAAAACCTAAACTGATTTATTTCTCCAATGGGGGGTGTGTATTTACTGTGATGAAGATGAGATAGATGCCATCAGAACTTTGTGAATCAGCTGGGGTGTTTTCACTGGTAAGCAACACATAGCAGGCGTACATTCATTACAAATATATGTATCTGCCAAGGTGGAGCCACTTTAAAGAGTGAATTTTGTGTCTTGTATCTAAAGTGGATACAAGCGTATGTTTAAACTGCAAGATTTTTACTTGCTAGAGAATCTGTTTTAATATAGTGGTTTCGCCTCTGATTATTTATAGGTTTTATAAATTTTAAAATCAATTTCTCTTTAAGGTGGCTCAGACTTTTCAACTCTTGTGCACATAAAATTGAGTTGAAGTTCATTGTGCCTTTTTTCTTTATCCAAATTTTGAGTTAAAGCTTCATATGGTAACTGCATCCTGTTCGGACACTGTAGTCTAAATTTTTGAAACTGTGTGGTGTTCCCTACAAGTAGAAAATAACAGAGTTAAAGCTAATTAAGGTCACAAATTTCGGTGAAACCCTTCAAGTCCAAATCTTCTTGATATTGTGAATTGTACCCCTTCCGGTTAGTTTCTCCTGGACTTTCCATACTTACTGACAGTTACCTTTTAAATTTTGCACACATTGAGATTAAATTGGGCCTCTGTTGTGCCGATTCCTGTTTCCTCTTGTGTTTTAAGTGCAAACTAACATAAGTGAACATTAGCATCAAGTAGTGCAACGTATGTATGCATTTGCTTGATTCAATTTGTTGTGACCTTATCAGTTTGGAATTGGAATTGCGCCATTTCATTGATAAAGAAAACTAAGTATATTGTTGCACTTTTAAGTTTTCAAAACAGTGTTGAAAAATTGCATTGTTTTTATTTTTTTTAAACTCAGTTAAAAGACTAAACTGTTCTTTCAAAAGAGGCATCTAAATGTGTTCCTAATTTTGTATATGGGCTTAGGTTTTGTAACCAATAAAAAAAAGCTGCTATCAAATATGATAAAACATTGAAGAACTTATTCTAAAAGTATCTTCATTTTCTAGTTTTGTTTCCTGCATGGTTAAATTAAATTTGGAACTATTTTTCAAACATCAGCCACAATGGAGGCAAATTATGACTTACTCTTTCATTGTATTTTAATATCTTCTTTCAACTGTGATAAACACGACCATACCAGCCCTAGATTTAAGAGTATTTTGTGACAAATAAGTACCAAAATCTTTATTATATAATAATTTCCTAAGATGCCATAACAAAGTAGCACAAACAAGGTGGCTTCAACCAATAGGAACTTGCGTTTGCACAATTCTGGGAACTGGAAGTCTGAAGTTAAGGCTGGGGCTCTCGCTCTCTGGCTCCAGGGAGGATCCTTCCGGGCCTTTTCCTGGCTTCTGCTGGTGGTTGGCTTCTTGGGCTTATGGCTGCTTCACTCCAATCTCTGATTTCATCATTTCATGGCCTTCTCCCTACATATCTCAGGTTTAAATACCATAACTTAAAGAAAGATCATTTGAAATTTTTTACCTGTTAGAGGTGGTGTCTTTAGATGAAATCTTGGTTTAATTAAAAGAACAAAGGAACAGCGAAACTGTGCCTATTCAAGTATTTTTACTTTTGTAAAATGCAACTTCAGATTATTTATGAAGGAAGTCAGTGTATAAGTAAATAAATGTGATTGTAGTACTCCTGTAGAATTTGCCATAATTTCCTTCAGAAGGGTTGTCCTTTTCAGGGGATTATCTAATTACTGCAGGTGAAAATTTATGAATGTCAGTTGTCTTATAGTGATGGCTATTTTTTAACGCTAGTTGAACTGGTGGGGGTAGGAAATTAAATCTATTTGGAGAAAGGTAGTATAATTTCTGTACATTAAGCTGTAAGTCTTAAGGCATATAAACCAAGGAGTACTTTGTGTAACCCATCACTCATTTGTCTGAAATTTAAAAGGAACTCTTCATGTAAATCTTGTACTTTACTAGCTGAAAAATAGTAGTAGAATGATTCTCAAAAAGTATTATATAGAAAAGGGGATATATAGATTTTTATAAATAAATAGAGATAATGGGCTCAGTACAATATCAAGAGAAAGTGTTTGGGGAAGGGGATGCAACATTTTCACATTCTTAGTCTTTCTTATTTGCTCAACAAACTTTGGCCTAAATCAGGGTGTCACAAACCCTGAAATACTGATATTTTAAGCTATGTAATTCTTGGTTGTGGGGGACTGTCCTGTACATTGTAAGATATTTAGCAGCATCCTTAGTTTCTACTAACTAGATGTCAGTATCAACTCTCCACTCCCGTCTTAACAAAAAATGTCTACAGGCATTGCCAGATACCTCTGGGGGTCTAAATTGCCCTTGGTGTGAATCACTATCTTGAAACAATTCCTGTACAAAATTCCACTCAAATTAGCCTAAATCATGCTTTTTTTTTTTTTTTTTTTTTTTTTTTAATGAACAGTCCCAGGCTTTCCTCAGGTGCAGAGGATAGAGAGAGAGGAGACAAAAATGTGCCTTGTCTTCTCAGTTTCAAGAGAGATCAGGGCCAGACCTAACCATATTTCCCAAATTGCTCATCTGTGGGAATTTCTGGTAGTAATGAGCCTCATCTGTTGCAAAGGACTTGGGGTAGAAATGGGAATAGGGGGTAACTAGTTACCCATAAACTTATTCTATAGCTAAAAACCAAGGTGTCGATTGACTAGTCTTCCCAGCACGTTCTTGGAACAGTGGTTTTTCAGACATTTTAATTAAAGTTCTCTGGGAAAGATGACTTGGGCCAGAAAAGTCACAGCATACTTTGAAAAACAATTTTTTGAAACATTGTGAGATATTGGCTTCATCAGGAAATTTGTAAGTTTAATTAAAATGATTAAATGCAACCCTTATAGTCCAGATGGCATAGCTCTGGTTGAACATCAACCTATGAATCAGTAGGTCCCATTCCGAGTTGCAGGCTCAATCCCCAGTGTGGGGCATACAGGAGGAAGCCAATTGATGTTTCTGTCTTTCCCTCTGTCTTCCCCTCTGAAGTCAATAAAAATATATTTAATAAATAAAAGCAGCCCTAGATTCCCTGTTAAGAGCACATATACCTGGGTTGTACCTAGTCGGGCACATATGGGAGGCCACCAATTGATGTGTCTCTCTCACATTAATGTTTCTCTCTGTGTCTCCCCCCTCCCACTCTCTCAAAACCAATGGGAAAAACATCCCCAAGTGAGGATTAACAAAAATAAATAGATGGTAGATAGATAAAGATTAAAGGCAGAAGTACCATATATAAAGATATCCAGACTATAAAGGATGTGTTTCCTGCAGGAATTTCTTCTATATCCCTCTTTTCTACCCTAACCAATTGCCATCCACTCGGTTGGGTAATTTTGTGTGTTTTTTTCAAACTGGTACCTGAAAATAAATTGGACCTTGTTCTAAGTAATGTGTGAAGACTTGGCACAAGACCCGTGGGACAGCAGTTTTACCTTATCTGATGGTAAGTAAAACAGTTTTATGGTAATACACGTTTAAGAGTTACAGAGTAAAGCACACATTTTGCATAATATTTTCAAGATTAAAAACAGATTT